AGAAATTAACACTCTGCATGTTATAATGCAGTGCCCTGGGAGCAGTGTGGGGTTCAGGGTCTTGCTCAGGGAGCCAAAGTGGCAGTGGGGGTGGGGCTTGAACTCAGAAACTCAGGATTCCAAGCGCAATGCCCCAACCACTAGGCCGCCACTCCCCAAAGCAGGCATTAGCATGAAGGGTGTTACCTACTGACCATTGGCGTAGGATTGCATAGGGACCATAGGGACATGTCCCTACCAAAATGTTTGATCGACCTACTTGTCTTTACCAATAATTAAATTTGAATAACATGTTTACAGCGTTGTTGTCTAAGGAGCTATTTAAACAGTTAGTAAGCAATATAGGATGATGATAAAAGGTTGCGTTATATTTAATCCTTTACTATTAAAAACGCTTTTGTATAATAGAAACATTATATGATTGTAGGAAACACAGATATAATGCTGCAGGGCAGCCTCAGGGTGAAGCAGCTGCCCTTCAGTGCCATATTATGGAAGAAATGTGTTTGGAAAGTTACCATAAAATCATTGCTGCAGCTAATGATTATTTTGCAAATTGATGAATCTGTTTATTATTTTTTCGATGAATCGATTAATAATCAGATATCCAAAGGTTCCTTAAAGAAGATGTTTTACTAAATGAAACCAGGTGACACAGAAGCTTTTCATCTTGAGAAGTTCTGGATGGAGAATATTAAAAGACAAAAACTTTTTTTTATCTCAAATGCAAAATTTTTACATATTTTTTACACTCTTGGTATAATTCCTGCTCTAAGTGGGTCACTCTGTCGGCTAAAGGCACATTTTAGTGGCCCTATACTCCAGTTAACGATTAACCAATTAGTAAATTAGTTGATAATTATTTAAATAATTTATTAATATAGTTAATTGTTTCATCCCTCGATAAAATACATGAAATGGGCGACACAGAGTAACTACAGCCCAGATGTACAACTTGTATAATTAAGTTAATATTTTAAACGCTCAGTGTCAGTTCCTCTTATAGTTTCAGTGGAGATGTAAATACATTTATTTACCTTTCCTTGAATGTATTATTTTGCATGATACAGAGAGCATATTAGATAAAAAAAAATAAGAGTAGGTTTTACCTCTGCACAGTTCTATATCTTCAAAAGAAAACACAGGATAAATCCACATATAACAGGCATATTTAGACTATATTTGGTTAAATAGGTACGTATTTACCTACTGTCTTAGTCACTGGTAAGTTTAAATTTTTTCATTTTTCAAAGTGGAAAAAATTCCTAATTCCACATTTGTCACAGCCAGTGATGCTTTAAACATTGATAATCTAGTGTCTGTAGTGCATATAAAATTTCTATTAATGTAGCAAGAAAAGCTGCTGTTCTCTTTAAACAAAATGTGTGCTGATTCTCACATTAAGCATAAAAAAAGAGCATGCATGTTTGCATAGGACCAATGACATCACACCAATGAAACTGAAAACAAATAGTGTCCCTACCAAAGTTAAAATCAAACCTACGCCTTTGCTACGGACCCACACTGGCAGCTCATCCCCCCCAGCTGGGATACGAACCTGTTTGCTTCCTGTTTGCAGGATGAGTGACTTACCGCTTTAGCTAGCCAGTCGCTAAGATGGGATGGTGTTTGATTGCAACTTATTGTGTAACAAACAGACCTTTGGTTTTTATCTTTTACTTCCTTAAACCTGCTACACATCATTTCTCTGCTTCTCTAACTCACACAGAACCAAAACACTAAGCTCAATTTAATAAAATAAAAATACTTTATTAATCCTAAAGGGAAATTAAATCATTTTCCTCAGTGAGTTGTAGAGGCTGGTGGCTGTTGACAGGAAGGATTTCCTGTAGTCTTCTATCTCAGAGGAAGTGTGGAGAAGCTTCTAACTGATGAGGCTCTGTTGAAGAGGATGCTTAGGGTTGCCCACAATGTTCCTCATTTTATCAAGAGATCTCCCAAAATCCTCTCCAGAGATTCTCAGAACAGAGCCGGCCTTCTTTTTTAGCTTGTTGGACCTCTTTACGGCATTTGCTCTGATGCTGTTACCCCAATAGATAAAATGCACTTATAGAACACAGTCATGTTGCTGCAAACGCTGAACAACCTAAGCTTCTTCAAGAAGGGCAGTCTGAACTTTTTGCAGACGCTTTTATAGTTGCCTTTCCAGTTCAGTTTGAATTGCAAGGTACCTTTACTGTGTGGTGTGGAGGCTGCAGCATCTCAGACTGGAAGAAATAGAGAAAATTGGTGAGAACAGCAGTGAGGATAATCGGGCTCCTCTTCCCTCCATAAAAGACATTTCTTCCCAGAGCTGCGTTTACCGAGCCAGAGAACATCATTAATGACCCCTTACCCCCCCACCATGGACTGTTCTCCCTGCTGCTCTCTGGGAAGAGGCTTTGCAGCATCCGATGCAGGTCCAGCAGATTCTGCAACAGCTTCTTCCCCACCGCCGTCAGACTGCTGAACTGTTGAGAAAACATGTCTCTGACTCTGCATCACACTGATATCACCAATCCAAAACTCTACATATTTGCACCATACATATTTAAGGCTCTGAACTTCCATATCAACATGTTTTTGCACGTTTATTTCTCCTTTGCCGTTTGCATTGCATTACTTTAAGGAATGGAAATGTTATGAAAGGTGTACAAAATGAAATTTCGTTTTGAATACACTCTGTGTGTACAAAAAAATGATAATAAAAGTTGTCTAAGTAAGTCTAAGTTTACTCCTCCACCTTTTCTTCTCCTATGATGGTAAAGGTATCTGAATTGTTCCTGTTTCTCCTGAAATCTCTAATCATCTCCTTTGTTTTATTTTTTCACCAGCTTTTTCTACATATTGTCCATTTCTGATGCTCAAGGTGTGAAGGTTCAGGTGTGAATGATAACTGGACCACTATTCATTATGTTCATGCTCTGTATATATAGATCTATAAATATAAATCTGCAAGGAAATGAAATCTGATTGAACGTTCAGGCTCAGATCGTCACAGTGAATCAGAATCAGGCAGCATGATCCACCCTGCGTCACATTGAAATGCAGCCTCCTGCCATTATAGGGGCTCTTTTGTGACTCAGCCATTTCATATGCAGATCCTGTGCCTGCAATTTCTTTTGATTCGCCTCTCCACGTCAGGCACTGAGTTAAGACTACACACACACACACACACATGTGAGGGCTATTCAGGTGTAATTGCCTTTCAGGCTTAATTGTGACGGGCTTTTCTTGTTTGTGGAAGCACCTGTGTGGGGATCAAAGCATTTGATGTTTGTTGTCAGCTTTGTTTTAAGTGGGTGTCCTCACAGAACACGGATTGTCACATAATTGCCTCTCCAGAAAATTTCTATGGCCGTAGAGGTAGAGTTCACATTTCCTTAAAAACAGAAAAATTTAATGGCTAAGCATTTAGAGATAAAGGATATAACAGAACAAATCTAAGGAAAAATAAAGTACATAAAGCACTGATAGTTTAAAACAGATATTAGACGATCATGGTTTGCAACAAAGCATTAAAGCACCTTAATCCAGTCAATAGAAGAATAGAATCTTTAATAAAATAGTCAGATATATTTGCAAAGCCTTGCTCAGAGCCCCGGCGTCTGCCTGTCTCTGTCAGATCAATGGAGTCTGTACACATCACAAGGTGACAAATAAGAAAAGAGTGGATGTTTTTAGGACCGGCAACAATAAAACTGGAAATGAAAGGCGGCGGTTTAAAGATGTCAATATTTGAGTTTGGAGATTAAGTTTCTCTGTTGCTTGTAAAGCTTGAAATGACATTTTGGGCCTGCTTTAGAGCAGATTTAAATAGACTATATCTATTACGTTTTACCCAAATTAAGGCTTTCATTTATAGGAATAACAAGGACTATATGGAGACAACATTAGTGCACAACTGAGTCAATATGAGATTGGAAACATTAGAGACCTAAACGCAATGTGTGGATAATTATTGGAGGGGAGGGGTCTGGTAGACCAAGAGGGTTTAAGGATATAAATACTGCCTGTTGGTCCAGAACAGACGACTGAATAGGATCATTAGAAGTTGTTGCATGCTCAGCTACAAATATTAAAGACGCTGCTTTGACTGTAGGGAACCAGAGCTGAATCCCTTTTTTCTGACCTAAAGATGAAAAAGTGGAAGATTCAGCTGGTCGTGATGACTTTCTGTGTGCTCGTGCAAACTTCTAAAGGATGGACTAGTGCTACCGAAGAGGAGCGGCAGCTGTCCACACACTGGCAGGTAAGAGCTTTACCTGGCACATTATTTGGAGACTCTTGCAGTAATAATGGGAAAATCCTTGAACCAGTATTAATTTTCCTGACAGGACGAGTCTGTCGACAAACGTCTGATCAGCCCTCTAGAAACTCTGATGAAAAGATCGAAAGCCCTTCGCTTCTATGGGCTGATGGGAAGAAGAGCAGGTAGCATCCCTGCCTCAACTAACATCCTGCATAATCTGTTTAATTCTGTGTTTATAGAGAAAAATATGGAAATCTCAATTATCTAATTTTTATCAAAATAATTAAGTTTTTCTTAAATTGAGGAGGTGAGACAGTTTACAATGGAACGAGACAATTTACATTCAAATTAAGAAAAAAAACTGCAGTCTCTTTCTTCAAGTGGATAGTATCTAATTATCTTAAGTATTTTAAATGTTTACTTATTTCTAAATCATTTTTGCAGTGTAATACATGTTTTTTTTCTCCTTCAGAGCCAAAGATACAATTTCAAGCAAAAAAGAGTGAGTGATTAAAACTTTCCTTATTTTTTCCCCAAATAATTACAAAAAGTGAGTACTTAGAAAGATCCTATTTCATCCTTCTAGGAAATAAAGGGGAGGCATTTGTGGGCCTGATGGGAAGAAGTGTTTCCAGTGAAGGTGAGCTAACAATAGTTCAAAATATCAAGACAGCTTTATCTATAATTAATGTTTTTCCAAAAAAAGGAAGAGTAGAGAGAAGCAATGAAAATCACAAAGAAAATGTGGTCCCATTTAAATGCTTTGTTTATTTCAGAGCCGCTTAATGCAGTGATTCCTTATGTAACAACCGAGGAGATCCACGATCCAGAGAAACCGTCCAAGCAAGGTATGATTGCAGCTGTACAAAAACCTGAGGTTGTGTTACTTTGACTTTAGCAAATTGAAAAATCTCATCTTTTTTATGTTATTTATTTGGCAGGTCCCCTAAAGGAATGGATACACATCTCATACTAATTAGACTTAAAGGGAAAAACAAAACATCTATACAACGTTTACACCAGCCAAAGACTATAAAAAATATTTTTAGTAAAAAATTTAACCCTGCTTCTTTTTTTTTTTTTTTGATCATGCCAAAACAGGAATAACCATCTTCATGATGCACAACATTTGAAAGAAATAAAAAAAGAAACCTGGAAATGCTTCCAAATGTCTTTATGTATTCCATCGCTTTGTGAGCAAAGCAGAACATTTGTGTTTCTGCGCCGCACTAGTTCAGTTCATCTAACATTCACAACAAAGACAAAGGCCTGTTAAAAAAACAAAGACAGCTTTCTCTAGCTTTAAATGCTTAAACTCATGAAGCTAAAATATAAAGGAAAATAAAAGAAATGATCTGGATACAAATGTAAAAGAAATGTAACACTGATCTTCGTAGACGAGTCGAAGGTCTTAGGCTACTTGTGGTTTTCGAGGCTGGTAGTGAAGTTTAGTTTTTTTAGTAGCCTGAGGATCCTGTGCTCATGTCCCTTTGGGAGGGGTCCATTTTAGAGAACTTGGGTCGATAGTTTTGTTGCTGTTACCTCGTTTGATCTCCTTGGCTTTCCACTCATCAATCAGGTCCTAAAAAGAACAAAAGCAGCAGGCGGTGCTTAAACTGTTGGAATACAAACCTAGCAAGTCATTTTATTATTTATGCTTAAATGGAAAATGAAAAGAAAAGTTGATCTTACCTGTCGTTTAAGAACTAAGTGCTTCCCCTTCCAATACTTCAGCATCTGAAGTGACTGCAGGGTGCTCACAATGTCCACGGGGTTCACTGCAGTTTCCTGACTGATCTCTGAATCCACCAAAAAAACAGAAATAGAAAACATTTGGTTGAATTGACTGATACATCTAAATAAATTGGAAGTTAACTGAAAAGTTGGTCTACTTTAATAATTCAGTTTAGAATGGAAACTCATATTTGTTCATAAACTAATAAACCTTTCAAGCTTTTTACTTCCAATTATGATTGTGGCTTAAAGCTCATAACTGGATATTTATCAAGTCCAAAGTCAGTTCAACTGTGTGGCAGGAGACCTCGGAGCACTGAGCTTCTTTCTAGTGTAAAGCTTTATGGAAAAACTGAATTTATTTTAAAAGCAGGACTTGGGAGCATTGCTCATTGTGCTGATCAGCTCCCACCCTCACATAAAACTAAACCTCACACAGAATCTATGGAGAAATGTTAGCAGGCTTCAAAGCTGACCATGACTAACGCTCTCTAGCAAAGCAACCAAAGTTTCCTAAACATCTCTGCATATGTGTCATCAGCTGATCCAGTGACTCCAGTAATAAAGGGCCCAACTAAATACTAAGTGTACAAAGCCTTACAGTGCATAAAGAAAATGATCGCCAGGCACTTCTGTATAATTAAAAATCTTAATTCAGTAGTTTTGAGTTACCGATTTTAAATTTTTTTATGCGCTGTAATAAAGAATCAGTCAAAATGCAGCTCTATGAGTTTGATATTTCTAGAGCTGGAACTAACAATTACTTTGCAAATCGATTCATCTGTTGATAAGTTTTTTAGATTAAATCGATTAATAATCGGATAGCCAAAGATTCTTTAAAGAAGACTTTATGAAATTAAAACCAGGTAAATCTCAAACTTTTCCATTGAGGAGTTCTGGATAAATAATGACATTTTTTTCTATCCTAAATGCAAAATGTTTCTGTTTTTTATTTTTTAATGTTGATATAATTACTGCTGTGAGTGGGTCGCATGTTTTTCAGTCTCTATACTCCAGTTAACAATTGATTACTAAATTAGTTGACCATTATTTCAATAGTTATTTCAATAATTAATATGATTAATTGTTTGAGCCCTACACATGTTAAACTGAA